CCCCCGGGGGGGGGGGGGGGGTCAAACAGAACATGTGGACCTTCTGCCACTACACCATTACATCAGGTTTAATTTAAATTCTGCACAAAACAACAGTTTCAGACGTGTTTGCATGAAATATGTTCTGTTTGTCTTATGAGACACGTTTCATCTGAACGTTTTTTTAAAAAAAACTCAGATTATTTTGTTGTTTTACAACCAGAAACATGATGGAAAGATTTTTTAAATTTTTTAATCAAAACATCCGAACTACAGATCAGTTTTAGACATCAGTCTGACTCGTGTTAAACTAAAAACAAACTGGATCTTTCCTCTTTCATCCACACTTTCCTCTGGAGCTGTTGCATCATTTTGTCCTTTCACCTCGCGCTGTTCTTTTTTATTTTTAAGAAGTTTTGAGGCAGAGCTGAGAAACAGGAAACTGCTGCTGCTGCACGTTACTCTTCAGGTTTGTTGTTAGCTTATCTTGTTAGCTGCAGGCTTTTAGCTGTGGAGTCGTGTCGACACCCTAATCAGTTTTTATCTGTCGAATTTCAGTGTAAAAATACCGTTTATCAATAATTCATTTCATTTTAATCCTACGACCATCCATCCATCATCCATCCATCATCCATCCATCCACCATCCATCCATCATCCATCCATCCACCATCCATCCATCATCCATCCATCCATCCATCCATCATCCATCCCTCCATCCATCATCCATCCATCCTCCATCCATCCATCATCCATCATCCATCCATCCCTCCATCCATCCCTCCATCCATCTATCCATCATCCATCCATCCATCCATCCTCCATCATCCATCCATCCATTTACACATCCATCCATCCATCCATTTATTCATCCATCCATCCATCCATCCATTTATTCATCCATCCATAAATCTATTCATCCATCCATCCATTTATTCATCCATCCATCCATCCATCCACCCATCCATCCATGTTACAGAGTACGTAACAGTACAAAAGCTGCACAGATTCATCTGATAATCTCACTCCTTCAGAGCAAACCATTCATCACACACACACACACACACACACACACAC